CTAAGAACTCATTATTTTTCTAAGCTAAGATACAAGCTGTATTTATAAGTATTTGATAATTATAAAATGATCATTTGAAATGATCATTCAGAGTGTTTGAAATGATCTTTTGCAATGATCATTTGCAATGATCATTTGGAGTGATCATTTGCAATGATCATTCAGAGCGCTTGAGATGATCGGTTGGAATGATCATTTGGAATGATTATTCGAAGTGATTATATGAAGTAATCATGTAAAGCAATCATGTGAGATAATCGTTTGTGATTATGAAAATATCTAATCACAACAATATATTTTGCATTATATAAATAAAAAATAATAAAGAAATTTCTTAAAATTCTCTAATTATTACCTTTAGAAATAAATAAATGAATAATTTACAAAAATATAATATTTTAATAATGCATTTGACTATTTGTTCAAAAATAAATTCATATAATATTTTCAAATTTTATAACAAAATACATATTATAAAGGTTTTTTATCAAATAATTTTGTTCAAAATTGTGTTTATCCAACAAATAATCCTAATGCAAAGTGAAATATCAAGTCAGTTTATTCTTTAGATTCTCCAGTATTTTTGAAAATAAGTAATATATATATATTATTATTACTATATATATTTATATATGATTTTAATATATAATTCAATTATAAAAAATAAAATATTTGAATTTATTAACCATTTATTGCATATCAATTGAATAAATTATAAGAAAATATTAATAATATGTTCATATAAAAAATATGAACAATGATCATATTTAATATGGACAAGTGGTCCAATAGTCCATATTTTAAATGACAACACTAATCCAAATAGAGTTTTTGTTTGTTTTGAATTTTGTATGTTTACATTTGGGTTAACAGGTTATTTTTGCCAAGCGAGAACATCTAACGGGGCAAATGAGAACAGTATCTAAAATAGGAGTTTTGTCTTCGGATACAGTTTTGGATGATGAAGGATTATGTCGATTTAAAGAAGGCTTAGGTCCTTGGAGTTCACATGAGCGGAACTGGATGCGACTTGTGCTTATTCGACGAAACCAATTTATCATATTGTTATATGAACACACTCGAAATACAAAACCCGATAATCATCAAACCTATGAAACGAAATTAGATCCAACAGACCACGACAAAGCAAGAAGTTTTTCGTTACCTATCACTGATCGGTGAGGTGATCACAATTCTCTGCACCTCAAAGCTTGTTGAGAACTACCGGACACATTTCTGAAAATGCGGATGGTGAATTAGTTCATTGTACAATCTTCCTACACCCACGATTGCGATCAAAGGCATATAGATACAGTCAAACCTCGTTAAATTGAACCCAGTTAAACCAAGGCTCTAATGTAAACCGAAGTTGGGTCCAGGAACAGTTATAGTAAATCCCCTTCGATAAACAGAATTTTTTACTAATAACACCGACCACTACGGTTTAACGAGGTTTGACCGACAGACCACTGATCGGCGAGATGATTTTGCACCTACAACCTTTCACTGGCTTGTTGAGAATTGCCCGAACGCATTTTGAAAAATGCGAATGGTGAATTGGCACATCTCCTTACACCCGTGATTGCGATCAAAGAATTATGATAAGTATACTTCAAAAAATACAAGTTCAATAATTTCTTAATTTCTTTCCATTTATGGTAACTTAGGTTTTCGCGCTATTTAAAATTACGGTGAATGCTTTTTCTGGCAATGATGAATTTCATAATTAATATATTTATTATCTGATAATGCCTGATGGGCCCTTCTGGGAAGTCGTGGAGCCCTAAACCAGCTTCACGCTCCGACCGAAGACGTCCTCGGCAAACTGATGCAATGCAATAACTGAGCCAGAAGACAAAAAATAAACCACGATCGATTTAACTTTTGAATTATATAATAAAATTTCTTATTCGAAATCACGTTTTTGACTGTTTATTGTATTGTAACAGTACATAGTGTTATGAATGTATTGACAAAAACGTCTAAAATAAATCTGGTAACAATACTATATAACAGAATTTTTATTTCTTTGATCTGTGTGAATGTTAATGCCTTCGTTTCGTTCTGAACTCGTCATCATCACGAGGTACAGAGCTTCCGCTTCTTTTCCTTGACCTAGAGAAATCAAGAATAAGTAAAAAGAGAAACAGAATACACGGATAAATAACTGGGAAAAAATACTCACACATCCCATCGATCCTCTTCTCTTAATGCTCTAGACGGATATCCCTTTATTTTTTTTAAAAAAAAGAGATGATAAATTAAAAGAAAGGAACGAAACCAAGAACCTTTCATTCGTGATTATGAAACCATTTCTTACTCGACTATCTTCTCGATCCCTATTATCATACACGGAGTATAATCGATCATTACCACCACTTCTCTCAATTCGATCGCGTTCATCTTCACCACCAGCTCTATCAGAAATTCGACTATCAACTGATGTATCACGACCACTACCACCACCAGGTCGATGTAATGAAGATGGTCGCATTCGATGTGCAAATGGAGCATCTGGAGGTGGTGAATTTTCCCAATCATGATATCCGCCAACACCGCCGCCACCACCACTTCCTCCCCCAATGCCACCAGCCCCAGCAGGTCCACCATGCATTGGTCCTGTTGGCGGTCTACCCGGAAAATTTGGTCGATATTGTGATTGATTACGATTATCCATATCCCAGGCTATATATATATAATGCATAATTATTTTTTATTAGCATTCAATTTAAAATTCACACTTTTTTCAAATGATTGATACATACATGATGGTTCATCCATCGAAAAATACGATCTAAAGAATAAATTTTTTATTTAATAACTATTGAATCTAAAGAATGATAATAAATATCATTACCTATCTTCCATTGGTATTCCTCTGCCTCTACTCATCATAGCACCTGCCATTCCACTTGGCATTCCTGGTGGTATTCTACCCGGCATACCTCCTGGTATTCCACCGCTCATTGCATTTGGCATACCTGGTGGTATTCTAGAAGGCATGCCCGGCATACCTCCAGATCGCATCATTTGTCGCATTGGTTGTCCTCCACGGAATGAAGGATCATAGCCCATAGGACCAGTTGGAGGCATTTCAGGATTACCCATGAAAAATGGCGGTGCACCAATTGGGCCACCGATTGGACCTCCCATTTCCTTGAAAATTAAAGAGAAACATTACTATAACAAAATAATTTCAAGCAACCAAGCAGACATTGTATGCTTACTGGTGCACCAAACATATGAACTCCCATCGGTGGACCTAATCGCATTTATGAATACCGTTTATAAATAAATCCTTTAAATGTGAATAAAAAAGAAGAATTTAATTCAAAATACCCGGAAAATCTTGTGGATATCCAGTGTCTTGCATTCCATAATCGTCATTTTGTCGTCCGTCAACAATTTGTGGAGGTGGTATTGGTTCGAGTTCCTCTAAAACAGCCTCACGTTCACTAGAGACCACTTGAATCACTGAATCATCATGATCTCTTCCACGACGACCTCGACCACGTTGTTGATATCGTGAATGTTCGGGTCCTTGTTGCGGTGGTTGATGTTGTTGTGACATTTGCTGTTGTGATTGTTGTTGAGATCCCGTTGTGTTTAATTCATTTGAAATATCCACCAAAGTATTATTATGTTCGTGTTGTTTTGATTCATACACATTTATTCTTTTTCTTTGATGTTGATCCTCACGTATTTGTTTTTGTTTAGCACAATAAGATCGCCATGTGTGTTCATTAAATCCAAAATTGAAATAGTCAGTTATATCGGCACCTGGTTTTCTCCATGGTTTATCCTCGAAAGAATCTAAATCCACGTCATATAAATTAACACCTTCAATCTGACCAACTGCATTGATATCTACTGCAGGATTGCGGCTTGTAGTTGATGATTGTAGTCCAACAACGCTACCACCACCACCTCCACCACCACCACCACCACCACTACCACCACTTCCACTGCTATCATTTCGATTAAGTCCAATTTTGTTATTGAATTGATTGAGTTTAATGTTCACCAGCGAAGACCGTCTACCTCCATTATTATCATGACTCTTTCCTGGTTGGGCTTCCATTATGATTTCTATATCCTATATCAAAAGTTAGTTTATTTAACCATTATCAATTTATTTTTTTTTGTGAACAAATAACAATTCTTTAAAAAATCAATCAAATTTTACCGAGTCTTCGTCTTCCTCGTCGTCTTCCTCATTCTCTTCTTGTTGTGATTCAATATTATCTTTGTTTCTTATTTTATTCTGCTCCGCTCGTTCCTGTTGTGCCAAGGAATTTGGGGAACTATCTTCAGTTATCAATCTTTCGTGTTCTTGATGTCGTCCCTCTTGTTCTTGTTGAGTAGAAGGAAAAATATTAATATTCATTTCTGCCATATCTTTATTCAAATTTCCTACTAATGAATGATCTCCTTCTTCACCATTCACTGTCTCGCTGGTATACGAGTCTTGTCGCTGCTGTGGTGGCAGTTTTTGATGAGATTGTTCCAAAATTAGTTCGGCTTCCTTTTCAATATCATCATCTCCCATATCTTGATCTATACTATTTAATTAGAGAATGCAAATCATTTATATAGCGATCAAAACCACTCGTATAATAATCAAAAAAAAAGAGCAAACAAATGATTCAAATAGTCAAAAAAGAGAAAAAAAACAAACATTGAATTATCATCCAACGGATCGAGCAATAAGGAAGGGTCCTCATCATATTTGGATAATTGTAAAGCAGAGCTTTTCATGTTTCATGTTCAACCATGATCATTATTATTTATTATGATTGTGAATATGGTAATTATTATTTTAATTTAATGATGCGATTATGATGACGATGATGATGATAATTTGCAAAGGAGATTAAAGAGTTGAGAATAACGTGAAATCACGATTTCGCAAAAAACAAAATTCAATAATTTTTCCAACCTTTGCTTATTTTCTTTGGGAAAGATCGTATTTGCCCTATTCTCTAAGGACGTTTACTTACTTTGATTGTTCGACTGTTGCTTCTCCATATATGTCATAGAGATCATCGTCTGAATATATACAGTAGATAGATAGATAGATAGATAGATAAATAGATGTGTATGTGGTTTTAGATGATTAATTGCAAATTGGACAAATATTGAGATAAATGAAGGAGAACATGAAGAAAAATAAGTAATAAAATAATTTGGATTAAGATCGGAAACGTTTCTTTATTGAGAGCATTTGTGTGTCATGATTTACAAAATGAAGGATATAAGTTTCTTCTTAAATTCTAGATTATTATCAGGTCTTTCTAATAAGATTTTCTATGTTTTAAGTAATGATCTCTTTTTCTCTCTATTTGTTAAAAATTAAAGCAATGACCGTACCTTCGACTTTATCGTCCGATGTTGGATGGGACGGATCATACAAGTCATTGCCATCTAATAATGAATGATAAATTAATTTATAAGAATATGTTCTGACAATGATGAATTAAAGATAGATATGCTCTATGTAGAATGAACAAAAGTTTTCAAATATCTGAAACCTATCAATCTATATATTAACTGCAAACACATTAACTAAATGTTTCGATCGAGGAGAATTTTTTCGATTCTTCACGATATATACCTTTATCTCTCGCGCTTTTCTGTTCACTTTTGGGAAAACTGTAGCTATTTTTTTCGTTGGCTATCTGTTCGTTTGCTGAGGCAAGAGTAGATCCGTACAGAAATTCGTCATCGTCATCATACTCTATGGTTTCTGTCGGGGGATTATCTAAATCTGCCATCTCATGTATTCAAAGAAAATGTTGAACCATATGACGGAATATTCAAGACTTCAAAATTCAATCATGTGATTCAACAAAATAATTCATCCAATGAAACACGAGAAATTTCATATATTATTTTATTGATCTGCATTATATAACTCTAGCCTAATAAAGAAAGTGAAAAGGATCAATTTTCATGTCTGTAACGTGGGTTTACACCGTTAATTCTTGGATCTTTTCCTGCGAATAAAGTTTTGATATAACTATAAAAAGGAGAAACACGACACCCTGAATTGCTAGCCATATGTCATTTGAATAGCCCAACAGGAGGTTTTAAGGAACTTGCCATTTCACAAGCTAAATAACAAATGATTGAGTGGGTACAGTTTTTTAAAAAAGTAACAGATATCTTTATTATAAATATCCCGGGTTTGTTTTCAATATAAACTCTAGGGTAGTTATCAATAACAGCTCTAGTTTTGACATGAAGGTAGACCACGCTGCTGTTCTGGGCAGGGTCATTAGTGACTTGGATTAGTTTTACGGCAATTATAACAAGTGCTACAGCAGTTGTTACATTTGCAATTAAGCCGAACAATTTTAATATAATGTTGCACCCTGAACTTTTGTTGGTTATGGAGGAAGAGTAACATTAGATATAAACGTTAGCAGATAGGATAATGGAGCATATTCATAAAGGAATAAAAACCCACTTCTGGCTAGAAGACATAGCAGATAACGTTATATTTGATTTTTGGGTATATGAGAGATTGCGTACGGATTTTTAACAAAATAAGTTTGTCAGTCACTTGTTATTTATAGTGAATGTGCTCGGCAAAAAGCAACTACATGTATATCAAGTATATCAAGTTTGTTAACAAAATTCGCTGTATCGAGAGTTGCATACAGTACCGCCCTATGAAGAAAAAGATTGATATTTGTCCAATTTATTTTACACGTTTATTTTGCCTTGCTGCTTTCGTTATACGTATTTTGTGTAATTTGATCTGATTCAGTATTACTGGACTCAAGTACGTACTCAGTTACAAATACATTTTGATATTTAATAAAAAATATTTTTAAAATAAAATATATTGATATTAAAATAAATTGTAAATTGGTCCCTTTATCTTAACTTTGTTTATTATTGCTAAAATTAATAAGTCCAATGGTCCAAATGGCGCAGCTTTTATAAGTCCAAATAGTCCAATCGACAACTCTGATTTAATAGTATCTCATTTATTAATGCATGTGTGTAATGCGTTCCTGTGATTTACAAAGTGAATAACGATAACGATTTCCACATCGTTCGTTTTTTTAAACACTGCCATAATCACTAATAAAATAAACTCAAAGATAGCATCTAAAATTTCGAGTACTTATGATTGTAGTGAATGTTACCATTGTCTAAACGATGATAACTACCGATTGTCAATAAAGGAATTACTGCGAGGGAATTTATAAGGTCGAATGGTCTCGCAAAAATAAAGATATTAACAGTCTAATAAAAGAATGCAATAAGATTAATTACTATGGATTTTTTAAATGGATCCCTTTTGAAAGATTACCAATTTTGGATATCTTGCAAAAGGAGGTCTTGGATCAATTTATAAAGCAACCTGGTTGGACGGACCATTAACTGGAAGATGAGATCATGGGATCATGGGATCATGTAGAGAAAGTGAAATCATTGCACAATTCAAAGAAAATTATATTCGAGTTTATAAAAGAGGTGAAATGAACATCTTTTAAAGAGCAAGTATATTGTTTTTTTTAATATAATTAACTTTTCCAAAATTAGATTCTGACTGCTTTAAAGTGCAGTTATGGTGGCTATTTTGAAATAAAATATTATGAAATAACTAAAAACTCAGCTACAAACGAATACTCGATAATGATGGTTTATGCAAAAGATGGTGATCTACGCAAATATATGAATTCCAACTACAGAGAAACCTCCCTAGGTGCATCCCCCTTGGGATCATATTAAAAAAAGACTAAGTGTGCACTTAGAGAGGGTGTGCATTCATAGAGAGTAAATAATTAGAGGCCTTATAAGTTTGGAACTGAGCCATAGCGTGCATTTAGAGAGGGTATATATAGTGTGTGCATTTATAGAGAGTGCACTAGGGAGGTTTCTCTGTACCAAAAATTGACTTGGAAAAAATTAGAACATTTAATTGATATTATTGATAGTCTGCATAAAATTCACAAAGAGAGAGAAACTATGTGTATCGTGACTTTTATCCAGGAAATATATTAATACAGCTTAAAGCTGCTCAAATTGCTGACTTTGGATAGAAAATTCTGATCAAAAGATTTTCAGAGTACTTCCTTATATGAGTCCAGAAGTACTAAATGGAAAGCCATACACTAAAGCTGCAGATATTTATAATTTAGGAATACGAGGTTGTAACAGGTAAGCGACCATTTGATTGATGAGTGATACCTATTCAAGTATATTATGGTTAAGTATGAATTCAGTTTAATTTGATATTTTGGTATGATTACTTAAATAGGTTATAATTTGTTTTCTGTTTGCATAAAGTTATAGGTTTAAAATTATAACTTTTCTCAAGTTTTACGATCTACAAGTGTAAAATTTGTTGATCTTTAATAATGCTGGTCAAAATTAAGCATAATTTTGATCGTCCAAAAATAATGTTAAATTTTTTTCTATAACGCCAAGCAAAATTATAAAATTTTGCGTTTAAAATTCGGAATGATCGACGTTAGTCGGTGAGTATATATGCGCAGCATCAGAAATTTGCCACTAGAAATCAGAAATTTTGCGGTTTATAAAATTTTTTTTACTAATGGAACGGACACACCGGTTTAACGAGAGCGACATGTACACCGTATTTTAAATCGTCAAAAAAAGGGTCTTCTAATCCCTCTTTAAATTTCCCTTCGTCTACTTCTCAAACCATAAAATAATGATCTTCCAAGAATTGAAATATAAAATGTCTAAGCGGTGATAGAATACTATCGTTCCTGAAGATAGGAAAGCAATTTAACGCAAGCATTTTTGAAGTATACCTATCGGTCAATTGGCAAATAATGAGCGAGCGTCACCCGAACCCTTGATCACATTTTTCTTAATGGATCAGGTATAAGAATCAAGAGTAATGGTAGGTTACGAAAGACTGCTTTCTTTGCTAAACGAAATGTTACATTTTTATAAGGAAGCAGCAACATATCAACTTCAAAAGAGAAAAAGCGAAGCTCAAAAATTCACAGATCAAAAACTAAAGAAATTCCGAAAAAAGAGCTTTGCTTTGATAAACACATTTGTTCTTGTCACGCTATAGAAATATAGATTCGAATTACTAAAGTTGCCTGGCAAAACCTACTTTAGCTAATGTCAAAAGTCGCAACTCTATGTTCACTACACTAATAAGATTTTATAATATAGTTCCGAGTTTTTGATATAGTTTTAACTTTAACAGGTTCATTAATAAGGTTTTAATAGTGACCCGTCAAAACTGTAAGGGTTTTGCCAGGCAACTTAATTAGTACTGCCACCCGAGAAAATATTAAGGTTTCGACGTTTTGGGCAGATTTCATTGTCGTTATGTACAATGTCGAGCAATCAAGACTTCGCCAGATTGGTAATCCCGTGGTAATCCCGTGGAATACATAAATTCTTCGGAGAAATACTTCTTTTTTTAGTAAACTAAAATATAATAAATAAAAACCCTTAACTAAAAAAATTCCTATATTCCTTTATAACTGATATTCTTACAGAAGTTATACGCTTTCGTAAATATAGTAACAATAGATAACCGAATGGATAATATCTTGAATTTTCGTGATGTTGGCAAAGCGATTCAAGAGATTTGTAGGATGAATGGAGAGAAAACGTAATCCAATTATAATTATGCATTTGATTTTATTGGAATCGATCTTCTTTTGTTAATGTCGCGATTTTAAAATACAAAAAGTGAAAATATCATGAAATCTGGTATATTATTTCGAGGAGCGAAACCGGGTAAAATAAAATGCACATTTTCTTTTTTTATTCATTCTTCGATATTGAAAAATTTCAACTAATGAAATAGATGACGCATCCGACCACGATATCAAACGTCTTTTAGCTCACGATATTCGTACTATAATCGATTTACGTTCTGGGTGAGTATACAGTATATAATTAAGTGTCTATGAAATTTTGCATAGTTTGCCATTTTGACAGTAATCAAATTAGGTACGAAAATACCAAATCAGATTTATTAGCATCTACATTTCCTTTACAAGAGGTAAAGAAAATTAATTATAAGTCTAGAAATAGTGATACTTCAAAGTAATTACTTGTAATATAATTTCAGGTCAATAGTATTGATTCTGAAGAAAAACCTTTTCGAAAAACCATCAAATTAAATTTGAATGGAAGAACATACGAAAAATTGGTTTTATCTTATGCTACTCGGACTATTACATTGTAATTATTAAAGCTTGTTATATATTGAAACTTATAATTTTATATTAATTCATTCATTTCTTAAACTCGGAAAAAGTCAAGTCATTTTTTATTTTTTAATTTGCCAAAAACATTGGGCTGCGCACACAATGGCCACTAAAGTTATAGGTCCGTTAGGCCTAGGGAAAATGTATTCCACTTTCTTTGAGGGCTGTCATGATGAAACGCGTAAGGTCAGTAGTGATTTTTGTGAACTATTCTTATTTTTACTCGTAATTTCATCAATTACCAATAATCACAGATTTTTGAAACCATGACCGATAAACAAAATCTTCCACTATTCGTGCACTGTACATACGGAAAAGATCGTACAGGATTCGTAGTTGGTAATTTGTTCTTACGCGCAAAATTTACTTCACTTTTCTATCTTGACGTATTATCTTAACGCCATTTTAATTTTCACCAGCACTAACATTATCACTTCTCGGAATCTCTGATGAAGTTATAATTGCCGAATACGTGCAGTCACATCAAAATCTTTTATCTCTCTACCCGAAAATGATAAGAGACATGGGGAGAATAGGATTCGGCGAAGAATTCGCGGTGGTAAATCCAAAAGCGATGCGTCAAATGTTAACTTTTTTGCATAAACAATATGGAACTGCGTCTGATTACTTAGCTTCGATTGGATTCGAATATGAAAGACAGCAAATTGTTATAAAGAATCTTTGTGAATGAATCTTTTTGTATGCGATCAAATAAGCACAATTATCGGTTTAAATATTAAAGAATTTTCTCAAATATTTAGCATTTCGTTGGTTCCGTTGAATTAAAAACTCAAACATAATTTAGGGAAATTCATACAAGCTTTTTCCGGCAATCATAACAAGGAAATTTTCTTTCTGATCTAATAGAATCTTGGCTTACCAATTACGGCTCCTCTTGAGAAATAAAAAATTACGTGAATTCGGATATATCGTAAAGGGTGATCTAAAAGTAACCCCTGGACCAAAGTACCCTCACTACTTTCTGGGTCGCGTTTTTATATAAGATCCAACCAGGTACTAAACATAAAGCATTACACAGATGTGGCTTTGGAAACACCGTTTTCTTCGTGACTTTTTGGTTATTCTTGCTCTACGATCAATTTTTGCAACCATTTTCGTGTATACAGTGACCAATTACTACATAAGAATTACAGGGTCCGTAGAATCTAGAGATGTAATCATATCTCAAAGGCTTTTTCTACTGACTACAATCATATTATATAATATTAAAAAGAAAATTTTATTTATATTGAAGTTCTATCCTATAAGCTGCATCACCAGTAGAATCCACGTGTCGCGATCAAACACATGTATTGCTCGCGTAGTGTTCCAAGATTAGTCGACTTAGTCGATCAAATTTGAAAAACCAATTTAGTCTATATACATGGTTACTGTAAAAGACACGTATAACATTATATCACATGACTGAATTACCAAATTTGGGGTGGCTAAAGCCTAGTGGACATGTGATGCGTGTTTATCACAGTGTTAAAGGTTGATTTATTAGCGTTAGAGTTAATTAAGGTTAGAGTGGGGGCTAGGATATATGTAAAATTGCTTCCCCGACGTTTTTAATTAGTGCTTCAAGATAGATTAAAGCATACATGTTCCATATTTTTCATTTTTTACGTTCGTGATTTGGATCTGTTTTTCCGGGTTGATCAAAAATTTACGCAACCCTTAATTTATGTTACGTTTTTGATGCTTCTACGCAGTAAAGCAATAAAGTCACGTATTTTATAATACCCAGAATTTTTATCCGGTCAACACAATTTTTGAGGGGTAAACCAATCAAATCGCAAGATTAATGTATAATGGAAAAATAGCTCGTATCTCGAATAAAAAATGTTCCTCCTCATCTTCAATATAACTTTTATTCTGACTCTAACTCTAACCCTAACCATAATCGAAATATTAATAGTATTTTGGTTATTGCACATAAGAGTTTGTAGTAAGGAATATTTTTCGTTAGAACCTAGAAAACAGTTTTATAGGCATAATTTCGAGATACGAGCTATTTTTCCATTATACATTAATCTTGCGATTTGATTGGTTTACCCCTCAAAAAATTGTGTTGACCGGACAAAAATTCTGGGTATTATAAAATACGTGACTTTATTGCTTTACTGCGCAGAAGCATCAAAAATCCACGCTCACGTGATCACGAAAAATTGACGTTAAAGTTTATTTTATCGTTTGGATTAGGGTTAGAGCTGAGGATAAGATTATATGTAAAATTGCTTTTTCGACATCTGTTTTCCACATTTTTTATTTTCTTGTGTCAGACCACAGATTCAGCAATGTCCGATGGCTAAAGCCAGGTACATCACGTGATATGCGACTATATAATTAAAGATTGCTTAGAGTTTGGATCAGAACTAGAGTTGAGATCAAGCTTATATATAAAATTGCCTCCCGACATTTTTTATTAGTATACCAAGATAGATTTAAGCATATATTTTCATATTTTGTTCGCGCTTCGGATTTGTTTTGCCGGGCTGATCAAATGTTTCGGACTGATTATCGGATGTACCCGGCTTTAGCGTATCCCCAAATTTGGATACTGCGCTATTAGTTGACTTGGATCACTATGCTCGTGTATTTACACGTGTCTAATATAAATACAGTCGACTCGCTCTATATCGAACTGACGGTTCTGTTGGTAAAAAAAAGTTTAATGTCATTAAGATTCTTAAGATTGACCAATCAAATCGCGTGTAACATAAAAAATTTTTCAAAATCGCTTGACAAAAAATGATCTTCGCGAATTTTGCCGTAATTCTTCGTGACAGACCTACGTTGATTTTACATGATACTGCTATGTGGTCCAGGTTTTGTGATGTGATTCACAAAAGAAATGGAACATTCGATAAAATGTTATCTCTGTCAATATTTATAAATATTTTAAACTTCAAAACCTCTAGTATTTTTGAAAAATATTTTGATAACAGATTATTTTAGCCAAAAACGTGTATTGTATTTATGCATGGGGGCTAAATTCCCTTTCTTAGTTTTTTTATAGTTGCATTAGCATACCCAGGATATTTTAGATCTCCCAAATACCAAAATATTTACCGTTACACACCCCTACAGTATATTACCGGAAATTTCAAAAATGAATTTGTCACTTTGTAACCCGATATCTCGACATCCAGTGATCCCATTCGAACAAAAATATCACCATTAGATTCGTATAGTTGAAACGAATCTAATGGTAATATTTTTGTTCGAATGGGATCATTGGATGTCGAGATATCGGGTTACAAAGTGACAAATTCATTTTTGAAATTTCCGGTAATATATTGTAGGAGTGTGTATTTGTGCGTGGTTACACGCAGTGTTGTACATTTTGAATGTTCAAGGTCTTTTTGAGACTGTCCCGTTCCAGGTCTTTTTGAGACTGTCCCGTCCCGTCCAAGGATGTCCCAACTCCTATTTAACTTAAAAACTTCTATTGATATATGATATATGCAAAATGGATTATAAGCATTTTTAATTAACCACTCAAAATAGGTTTTTATAATAAAATTTTGTACTATTTGTATTTTTTTGTCCCGTGTACAACTATGGTTACACGTGTACCCAATTTTGATGTAGATCATAATACATGTAATGATAACATCCGATTCTTTTTATGCAAGGAAAATGGTGTGATGTGCGCCGTACGTGTGGATGGCCTGATTTTTTTAATGTACTTTGATTGATTGCAAACGCGTAGTAAATGAAATAAATTTTCTGAATGCTTTTGTATTTACATTTAGTTGTACGTAGTTATAAATCTTGTTAGATATCAAAATTTGTTTGACAACCCAATCCTAGGAAGCAATCCTCTTTATCCTTATTTTTTCTTTGTGTATCAATATTCTATCCTCGATATTTCATCAATACAAACCGTCTTTCTGGTCCGGTTCCCTTCCAATCGTTGGAAACTTTCCACTTGCACTTAAAACATGACGATTTATTCCAGCTATATATTCTATTCTCTTTCAGATACCCGGGTATTATGATTGGTGATGCTCAGATTGCAGAATCGCTTCTTCCCAGTACATCTATTGCGGAATTACAATGGAAATGGATGAAGTGCATTACACTTGATTCCTTTTTCTACAAGAAATGGTACGATGTTTTTTGTACATGTGCTCATGTACGGATGGCCTGATTTTTTTTAATATAAACGCGTAATAAATATATTTGTAATTTACACGTTTTATACTATATCTTTATTGCGTATATATATTGTTTTGAAGGTTATAAAACCTTGTTAATAGATAAGGAAAATTCGTTTGTCAATAACAAGCAACCCTACAAAACGATTATCTTCATACTTATTTTCCTTTGTGTATTAGCATTCTAGCTTCGAAACTTCATCAAGACAAACCGTCTTCCTGGAAACTTTTCACACTTAGTTCTCTTATACTCTACACGAAATTCAATCTATCCCAAGTGTTAGATATCACATTAAAATGTCATCACCGTTACTAGAAAATTTGTATGAAGAGCAACCATACAAAACAGTCTTCTTCATACTTATTTTTCTTTATATATTAACATTCTATCTTCGATATTTCATCAACACAACCCGTCTTCCTGGTCCGGTCCCATTTCCAATCGTCGGAAACTTTCCACAATTAGTTCTCTTATTACTCCGCGAAAAATTCAATCTATCCCAAGTGATACAAATCTTGCACCTAAAATATGGCGATTTCTTCCAGCTATATATTCCATTCTCTTTCAGAGATCCGGTTATTGTGATTAGTAATGCTCAAATTGTAGAGCCGCTTTTTGCTAGCACATCGGCCATAGAAAACAAGTTCCATCTTCGTACGGGTCCGAGGCAGGGAATAAATGAACTGGGTATATCGAAAAAAGGATTGTATTTGAATAGAGATACGGAGAGTTGGATTAGGAATAAAAATTTTTTCGTGCACGGTGTTGGGTCGGTCAACGCTGCCAAAGATTGTGTAGTGTATGCGAGTAAAGCATTTGAAGAGATGGAAAAAAGTTGGGTTGAAGTTGGATCATTCATTGGAAAACGGGATTTAATTGCCAAAGTGGATTTAATCGAATGGATATTTCGATGGACAACCGACATAATATTCCAGGTGACATTGAGCGAAAACGTCAACTCAATCCAGACATATAAAAAGATAATAATTGAAAAAACCAGCAACAATGAAAAGAAATCAAACCTCAATTCATCATTTAACAAATTGGCAAAGTCATTATCAGTCACTAGGATGTCAATCGATACCGAGACATTCATACGAAATATGCAAAACTTCTTTCCAGCTGTATGGATATTCCTTGCGACTCCTAAATGGACACGTGATTATGTGGCACCTGTTTCAACAATGGCAAGACAATTCAAAACCAGTTTAGAAGTGGTGAATAAAGCGTTGGTAAAGATTATTAAGAAGAAACGAGAGGAAATTAGTGGTGGCAAGGCTAAAGAAGGATGGATGGATTTTTTGACAACGATGATTACGGCTGAAGAGGATAAAGTGGTTTTTAGTGATGATGATGTTAGAGAGAATTTATTGCATGCTTTAGCAGGCGGCATAATTACTGTAAGTTATCATCATGCCTTTCGCTATTATATTACAAATTTTAATTTTATTATATTATATAATAAAACACGCGTAGCTGGGAAATACATTATGCTTTATTATCTATACGATCACCAAACACCCGAATGTCAAGAATCAATTAATGCAAGAAATAGATTCTGTATTTAAAGAAAATGATATTCTCAATTACGAAGACTTGGCAAAATTAAAATACACCGAAGCGATTATTAAAGAAGCTTTGAGAATTTTGCCGACTGTTCCATTAAACTTACGAGTCGCTGGTGAAGATTGTCGTATTGGTGAACATCAGTTTAAGGTAATAAACTCGCCCCATAGTCGCACAATTTGACTTTCTTTTTAATCATTCATAACGATAAAAATATTATTAGGCCGGCACACAATTTATCCTAAACCAGCAAGGAATCCATCTTAACCCGAAACACTGGGAAAATCCAACTGAATTCGACCCATCGCGATTTCTTTCACCCAATTCTGACAAAAACATGCAGAAAAATTCTTTATTACACTTTGGTGCCGGAACAAGAAAGTGTCCCGGTAAATTACTGGCAATGACAGAATTAAAGTGTTTTTTGGCGTTGTTTTATCAAAAGTATGATTTTGTGATTGACAATGTTGATATGAATAATAATAAAGGTGAATGGGAGTATGTTTTTATTCGAAGATGGAAAGGGAGATTTTCAGGAAATGTTATCTTGCAGAAGTGATTGATTAGAATAAATAAATAGTAAATAGTAAATAGTAAATCCATACGAAAAGAAATTAGTATCTGCATAACGATAACGATAATGATAACGATAATATGTCATTATATTATCGTTATGTTATCTATCGTTATAATATATTTCATTCGTGAGAGTAATATTAAATAATCGTATGACTAGTGATTCGGGCTAAATCATTTAGCCCAAACCCAAATTATTTTACATGTATTTTTAAATTTTATTATAATTTTTTCAATTTTTTTTAGATTCTAATAGTCCTAAATTAGTTTACCTTATTTAATAATTTAGTCTTTTAATTTAGCCTTTTAAGTCCTAAATTCTGAAATTCCTAAACTATTTAGTCCGAATCACGCTAAAATATTCACACATATAATAAAGACACCTCTGAATTTAAGTAACAGTTTATCGTTATTATACAATAATTTACTCGCAAAAAAAAACGAACAGCCAATTGTTGAAGATGTCACCATCATTAGACCGGACAACAGTCATTATTCTCTTGATAATCACCTACATAAGTCTCTATTATCTTCGCTTTCTAAACCGACAAACACGTCTTCGTGGCCCAATTCCATTTCCAATAGTTGGCAATCTCCCTCAACTCATTTACTATCTAATCAAATACGATTTCAATCTCGACAAAGTGATATGCGTACTTTCACACACACACGGCGATTTTTTTGAACTTCATATCCCATTTCTTGTTTCTTCTGATCCGGTGGTTGTGATTGGCAATGCAGATTACACAGAAAAAATATTTGCATCTCATTCCGCATCCGGAAATTATACGAAAAGAGTCGTGCGTCGTCAAGGATTGGATGAACTTGGATTCTCGCAAAAAGGCGTTTTGTTTAATCAAAATATTCCAAACTGGTTATTCAATAGAAAGTTCTTCAGGGATGGAATTGTGGCGCGTAATGTTCTAGAAGAGAATATTAAAACGTGCATAAACTCTTTTGAAGAGTTGGACAAAGCGTGGATTGAAATAGGATCGAAACAAAATGCGGAAACTGAAATGGTTGCTAAAGTGAATTTAGTTGATTGGTTATTGAGATGGTCTACTGAAATTATTTTTCAAGTATCAATACGCCGAAAAGTGAATGCCATCGCTCGATATACAGATTCCCTTTTATCTCGTGAAGTAAAACCCACGATCTTGGAAGAGAATAATCAACAACAAAGGCAGATTAACATTGACACGGAATCTTTTATTAAACACGTTTGTGATTTCTTCCCGACACTTTGGTTATTTCTCACCACCCCAAAGTGGGTACGAAGATATTTTCCCCCCGTTGCTCGATTAGCGGAGGAATTAAAATCGAGTATGAACAACCTCAATCATGATCTGTTGAAAATAATTCAAGAACGACGTATAGAGATTTCTCGTCATTCGAAACCAGAAACTGAACAAGAAAAAGAAAAATTGAGGGATTTTTTGACGATGATGATTACTATTAATACCCCTTGGGATGTTACTAAAGATAATAATAAGGACGAATTCGACACTAAACCGATGAATGATGATTTGATTAGAGAAAATCTATTGAATGCTTTGGGTCCCGGTGCCATTACAGTCAGTATTATTCCTTATCCAAATACATTGTTCTTTCGTTTTCTCACTGACTATTTCTTTCTAATACCATTAGATTGCAAATTCACTCTGCTTCATCATTTATTACATCACTCATTATCCCCAAGTAAAAGAACGTCTCGTTCAGGAAATAGATCAAGTATTCAAAGATGATCCTACAAGGGAATTTTATTATAACGATTTGAGCAAACTTCATTATGCTGAAGCAGTAATTAAAGAAGTCCAGAGAGTTTTCCCTACTGTGCCAGTAAATTTGAGAATTAATTCCGATGATGATACCATTAAAGAAAAATATTTCAAAGTAAGCTAAAATTCGATAGCTAATTGAAAAAAACGATTTCTCTTTTTAATTCGACATTTTTTTAATATTTATTTAATTCAGGGTGGAACGCAATTTATAATTCACCAAGTAGGCATCCACATGAACCCCCTTCACTGGAAACGTCCCGAAATATTCGAACCCGCCCGATTTCTTGCTTCTCCATTCAATGCATCACTTGCCACATCACCGGAAGCGATTTCAGATGGAGTCCCAATTAAGAATTCTTTTCTTTATTTTGGTGGAGGATCACGCATGTGCCCGGGACGTGCATTAGCAATCAATGAGCTGAAAGCCTTTGTGACATTGTTTTATAGAAAGTATGATGTCGAGTTGGTAAATCCAGACGCAAAGATTCATTGGGATCACGTGTTTATTAGAAAGTGGAAAGGAAAATTTGATTGTAGAATTATAAAAAGGAGTTGAGAAACTTTTTTACTTTTTCTATAGTAAATTAAGAGTAATGCAAGAATCCGCTAGCGTGCATATTCTTTCTATTGCATAGCGAAGTTTTTCATAATGTCTCGTTTCTGATGATGGTACAAAAAAAGAATAATTTATTTACTCGAATCTAGCAAATATGCCCAATGCGCTTTACCAGAATTAAGAGAACATCATGGATTTATAAAAAAACGGAATTTTAACCTACAACATCAGAAAAACAATTTCTAACTCTAAATGGAAAAAACCAAACGGCATGAATATGAAAATATCGATCTACGATGTTTTCTCGCTTGTTATAAAAATAGTGATGACATTTGCAAAATAAATGACTTTAGGGCATTTCAATGATATATCAAATCGGTAGAATATAAGGCATTTCAAAGCAGCAAACGGAGGTGACCTAAGAACAAATTATCTCATTTTAGTGGTATTTTAAACCAGCAAAGCGCAATCCTTCGCTGGCTCAAAGTTCCCTCGATAGATAGTATGAATAAAAAAATAACAAAGCAAGTGTCGAGACCGTGTATCTTGATCTCTGTTACGAGAATGGGAAAGAACACCTCAAGGCGACATGAAGCTTTATTGATATGATATCGAAAAACAAAGAAGAGCATCAAGAAGAAGACAGAAGTTTTCATTTCCGGGAATAGTTTTGTTTGTAGCTTTTTGTCATATTCTCTAATCAATAAGTATTTCTTTAGCTAGAATAGTATTTATTAAAGTAATAAAAAATTTGCTTTAGCCGCTAATTATGAAATTTGACAGTTCGCTGTTTTTATCTGATAAAAAAGATATGGTGCAGGAACTCTTAAATCGGCAATATGTTTCATGTTAAAAATTCTATCAATTTCTTAACTAAGAAATAAATACAAAATTTAACCGGTAATATTATAATTAAGGATTTACTTCTTAGCTAAAAAGTTGATAGAATTTTTAAGAGTTCCTGCATCATACTATCTTGACAAATTAAATTTTCTATGATCCGAACGCAAAAAAGAATAAAGCTCAGCATGGAATTACTTTTTTGATTGATTATTTCACTTAAAGATTTTGAATAACGGAAAAAAATGACTTGCGACGTTTAAAATTATAACCTGAAATTTCTGTTTGTTTCATAATAAAACTGCAATTAATTGATACATGATAAATAAACTAAAAAATTGCTTCTAATATAATTAGCATTAAATAAATTCTAAATATTTTGTTTTATGGAATGTTTCTTTTATGCAACCAGTCTAACTTGTGCCTTATTTAATTAGACTTGTTATCAGATTACGCGTAAGAAAAATAAAAACATCAACTTTGTGTGCGACGAAAAACGACTCGTTCATGATCTCATGCTTAGCTCAGAATCGAAATTCTATTTTTTAATACTTGTGCCAAATTACACACATAAAATTACACAACTAACCGATGAGATTCTTGATGCTTGGGGGAATTTTTCCTCGTTGGAATTCGATTCTTGTGACACTGGATTAATTGTATATGTAACGCACGTGTGCTGAATCATTGACATTTTGACTCATAATTGACAAATAGTTTTCTTTAGTCGATGTATAAATAAATAGATGACGAAAAAATAATTCACATCGAAACACACCAGGTGACCTTCTGTGTTAACTTCTGTGTAGTTTGGAGTGTCCAGTTTACTGCATTTCTGCGCAGTACTGCAATTGATTCTGCAAATTCTGCAAACTGAAAAACGTGCAATATCATTATAATGATCAAATTTAAAAATTTAAAAAATCGGGTGATCAAATTTTTTAATTATTATACGTACATTGTTTAGAATTTCGCATGATCATTTTTATAAACCATATGGATTCTGCAAATTCTGCAAATGCGGTAAACTGGACACTCTAGTTTGAATATACATGTACATGTATATTCTACATATATATCGATATATATGTATATACTGTATAAGATGAGCTCATTACGTATATAAACGAAGATCATATAAATAATGCATGCATCGACAATCTTTCGATGCGATAACGAATTTATTAATTAAGTAGCACAAATTGAAAGCAAAGTGAAAGTATTTTACACATTTATTACTTGCATTATTATTGTTAGGGTTATTATTGTTCTTCCAATTTTAAATACGCCACTCGGATAAATAGATCGATACAAAAATAAATAATGACCGGAGTTTTGCCGTTATGCTTAAAACTTAAATATCAAAAACCCCGAAAAATCACACAATCATACACATGTACATACCATATGATGTTAAAGGCTATTGACTGTGGTTTTGCTGTTGCTACTGCTGTTTTTGCTCATGTCATATAAGCTTAAATTACTTGCTTCTCGTGTATCGATAATGAACACTTAAATATGCATACAGAATTAATTGATCATTGAGAATAAAACCGCTGTATTTAAACTTATTTTTACTTGGTGGCAATGAATTCATACACCAGCTGCCAAAATTAGTAAGCTTAAACTCCGATTGTAACACGTTCATACATTCAATTTCATTTATCGTTACAAATATTCGGTCTGACAGCTTACAGGTTTATCTATAACGTTGCGTTACTTAATCCTCTATGAATTCGACCAAGAGACAACTTATACAATCACTTGTGAATGAATAATATTTGCAACTTTACTGGAAACTATTAAATAAGCACTTATCATTGTATATAATTATCCACTGAATTATAACATCAAAATGGTTCATTATTATCATTAATTCCTCCAAAACAGAAATACATTCCAATTTAAAACTTTTGGAATTGATTACAAGCCAATAACGCACTCGAACTTTATTTGATTGACTATTAATTGAAGCTCAAAAGCTAAATTAAATAAAACAATTATTAAAATACCAAATACTATTTTATTTGAAAGACTTTCATATTCAAACAAAATATATTTTATAAAAGCAAATTTAAAGTTACAAATTAATTTGATAAAAGTCATATTATTAAAAAAATCTTGTAATTGCTTGATTTAATAAACAAAATAATAATAATATTATTATTATTAAATTTATTATATAAAATTGATAATTTATTTATTTGTAAAAAAATATTTAAGTAATACTTAATAAAATTTTGAGCATGTTTTTAAATATTTAACAAAATGAAATTTTATTAGATTATATAGACATTTTCTTTGTTATAAATTAAAAATAATATTTGATTTAATATTAATTAGATCCAACTTATAAATTTAATAATATATTTTTTTGATAATCTGTATAAATTAATTATTATTTTTAAAATTTACTAAATAAATACTATTAATTTTAGTTTAATTATTATTTAATATAATTATAAAAATAAAAAATTAATATTATTAATAAAAATAATAAGTATAAAAACTTAAATAATAAATTAATAAAAAAAATATTTGTATTATATATTTAGTATAATTAAAATTCTTTATAATAATTATATTGTAATATAAAATTTAATAACAATTTAATTAAATAATTTTATCATTAATTTTATTAAATAATAGTTAGTTATTTTTTATTAAATAATTATTTAATATATTATTGTATTAACAAAATTAATACTTATATAATAGTACAAATAATATTAATAATATAATTAATATTAATAATACTTGTATTAATAAAATTAATAAACTTAACAAAAAACTCTTTTTGCATCTTGTCCATATAGATCCCTTATCCATGGACTAAGCCACACTACAAGAAATGAAAAGATCAAATAGCTTCTCTATTATAGCATTTATCTCACCAACGACACATACAAAATCTCTTCTTCTACTACTAAGCTTCACATAAATACCAATTTTATAGATTTTATTTCAATATTTCAATCTTCATTTCAATTACTTTTCAAAAAATACGAAAAAACCAAAAATATACAAAAAATTTCTTAAAAAACCAAAAATAAATTCATTATACTATCCCCTCATACTTCATACATAATATAATGTCAACCTCTCAAGAAAATTCAGGTTCTGTTCTCAACAACTTAACCAAGTACTTTTCATCTTCTCCTACACAATCAACTATCAAAAAACACACTTCAGACTGTAACAACACTGGCAAAAATTCAGAAATCATTTCAACGAATAAGAAACAAAAAAAATCACGCCATAATCCCTATAATGAAACAACCAGACCGACAACTAGAAGCATGTCCAAAAAAAGCAAAACTTCTAATATCAATGACGCAAACATGGAACCAAACATCACCGATATGGAAACTGATGACGCCAGCGACACAGTCTCAATATATAATGATGCCAGCGACACAGCCTCAGTATACAATGATGTATCATTACCCGATCCTGAAAATCACACAACAAACATAGACAATACATCATCTTCCAACAGAATGTTACACAAGTCTCACTCAGAACTAAACACACCAAAAAACAAAAATATCATCACCCCAAATATTATCACCCCAAACACAAGCAATCCTATCACTGACAACAGCAATTCAAATAATCAAATGACTAATAATAGTCAAATAGCCAATAATAACAACAATAATAATGAATGGCAGACTATTCATAGCAAAACACGCTACAGAGGATGGATCAATAATGAAGATCTTCCAGGCGAATCGATCGCTGAAAAAATTAAAAACACAAATGAACTCGTGCATAATATCCATGGCTATATCAACACGAAAACACAAGTCATCAACAACACAAAATACATCTGCGTTGAGTTTAACTCAAAAGAAAGCCAGGAGTTAGGTTGCAATATTAATATTAATGATAAATTTCTTATTCCATTAAAACCAGGATCCAACATCACACACGACACCAATCATATTATTGCTCTTCGCGACGTGCCACTAGGAACCAGCAAAAACCAAATACAATCAACCTTCGAACAATACGGACAAATTGAAAACATTCGCATGATCACTAGAGGAAAATGGGAATATACCACTATCCGCTTCTCGTCTGACACCAACATTCAATCCCTAATCGACAAATGGTCAATTCTGGTTGAAAATGACAGAATCAGAATTTTACCTCTCGCTAATCAACAAGAAACAATCGCACTCCGTGACAGATACCATGCAAAAATTGTAAATCTTCCCTGGGGAACAACAGCAT